AGCATTTGTTGCTTGCTGTTCTGTTAAATTTTGCTATTCTGACTGGGGTGAGATGATATCTCATAGTTGTTTTGATTTGCATATCTCTTAGAGCTCGAGATTTTGAACATTTCTTCATGTGCTTGTTGGCCATCTGAATGTCGTCTTTGGTGAAATGTGAGCCTAGAATAGAATCTTAATACTTGGTAGCAGCCATCTAGGATACAAAAATTTGTCCCTGTTCACCTGTGTCAGTAGCAGAAGACGACCATCCAGCAAATGAACAAAGAACTGAACTAGAATTGCCTCCATGAACTACTGCTTGCCTTTACCATGAGGCCAAACCTGGATGGTGTCCAGCTACCATTACTGAACTTATGGTTCAAGGATTTACGAAGGAATTTTTACCAAAAAGTGAAGGGGATGTGTATAGAATTTAATCTCACATTTCTTTAAAAAATCCAAGCTTTTTGGTCTAATTGAGACTGAATGAACTCCTAAATTTGTTGTCCTGGGAAAAAATATTTATACCCTGAACTGACACCACTCCGATGTAATTTCCAAGTTGAGTACTTCAGTAGGAATAACACAGAATGTTCACCTTAACATTATACCTTCGTAATTGGGTTATCAGTCTTTTTCTTCTGGAGGCCTAGGATGGCCAACAGAGGTATGATGATCAAAATCATTGGCAATGAGAGAGATGCAAATCAAAACAACAATACCATCTCACCCCTAGTAGCAGTGACAAAGTATAGCACAGCAGCAAACAATAAATTTTGAGAGAATATGGAGAAGTGGAAACTCTCATACATGATTGGGTTGTACACCATTCTGGAAGGCAGTTTGGCATTTCCTCAGAAAGATGAACACAGAAACTGTGTATGATCCTGTATTTCAATACTAGAAATATACCCCAAGGAAATTAGAACTGAGACACAAATAGAGATTTGTACACTTATGTTCATAGCTGTGTTATTTACCATCACACAAACACAGAAATAGCCAAGATGTTCAAGTACAACTGAATGGATTGAAAAATTGGGGTGCATTCATACAGTGGAATACTACATAGCACTCGAACAATGATTTTGAAAAATACTGTATAACTTGGAAGAGACTGGAGAGCATTATCCTGAGTGAACAAATTCCGTCTTACAAGGACAAATGCTGCATAAGACCATTAGTGTAAAAAATAACTAGTAAAATGTGTGAGAATCCAAGGGGAGATGGGATGGGGATAGAGGAGTGAGGATAAGTAGGAGTAATCTGTGGGGTTCCACAATTTGGTGGGTGGGGGAAGGGAGTGAAGAAAAGGGGAAGGATCCCTTGGGGACCTGAAAAGGCAGAGTAATGATGGGCATTGTTCAGTGGTGATTAATTGTATAAATATAATGCATGGGAATGACTGAAACAGTGTGAATGAAGAATAGTGTAAAACACAGTGTAAATAAACTTTGTAAGCAAACCAATATAAATTTTTTTAAAAATTACTTTTATCACATTGGCAAAAGCATCTAAAGCACAGATGAATGATTTATAAGGTAGTGAGATTTAAGTTAATGATGGGAAGCAGTGTGTCACCACATGGAAAATGTAATCAAAGTCACAGAAGTATACTTGTGGAAATGATAGAATGTATTCCATCCATTCTCTAGGATGGCTGCTGTATTCACCAAAAGTAAACTTTTTAAAAAAAATTATCACTTATTATATGTTTTTAAAATATAGTTAACCAGTTAGGATTATTACTTGGGTTTTGAGTGACTTTATCTTTTTCCATTTGACTGAAGTTCTCTTTTTTGCAGATTTCAGAATTGATATTCCCCCCTCTTCCAGTGTGGCATCCTCTGCCCAGAAAAAAACCAGGGATGTACCGAGGGAATGGCCATCCGAGTCACTACCCACCTCCTGTTCCTTTTGGTTATCCACATCAGGGAAGGAAGAATAAATCATACCGCCCAATTCCAGTGACATGGGTACCTCCTCATGGAATACATTGTGACCGGAACCACTGGATGAATCATCACATGTTAGCACCTCACTAGCTCCTTTTTGATTCTGTTAATGTCATGTTGAAAGAAAGGTAGACTAAGCCTGATTATATATATAAAAATGTTGAAAGTTCTTACTCCCAGTAGTAAAGTTAGATGGACCAAACCATCAAACTTATTTTTATAGAGATGTTATTGAGAATAATCTTTCTTAAATATAGATATATATATATATATGCACTTTAGATACATTGATAATAGTTTGAGAAATTTTATTAAAGTTAGTCAAGTGCCTGAGTTTTTAATATTGGACTTGAGTATTTATATATTGTGTATCAACTTTGTTGGATACAAAAACACTGTAGGAGTGGACAATCTGTTACAGCACCTTTGTGGATGTAAGTTATTTATACACAAGGCTATCTATTTTATTTCATTATTTTGAAGAGTTGTGAAATCATGTAGTTGCACATAGAATAGTTTGAGGCATGCCAGTGTATTTCTCTTCTGTGCATTAAAAAGGGAGAAAGCAAAGTGTTCCGTTCAACATCTTTAATTATCTAGTGAAAAATAAAACAATAAAAATTCTAAATTTCTTTTAAAAAAATCAACTTTTGAACTTTATTTTCCCCGAAACATACAGTATCAAAATATGCATATGAAGTCTTAAATTTGTTATTTTTAGCTAACTGAAAACATAAATGTCTTCTGCTACTGTTGTTATACATAGGCTTTTCTTAACCAAAACTTTGTCATGTACTAATTTTGATGACATCTGACTGACATGCCTTATTTCCACTTTTAAAAAAGAATGTTCTTGTAACATTTGTTAAAATTCTGTTGAAGAATGCCTTTTCCAGTATGTTAAAATCTTTTGAAGTATTTAATAAATATTAAAATAAAGATAATAGTACTTCAGATTCTTCATAGTCCTTCATATTTATACCACTGTAATCCCATCAGTCTTGTAAGCGTACTTGAACTAAAAAAAGAGAGAGAGAGAAATCTGAGTGTTGTTTTTTTCCCCCCAAAATTTAAAAAACTAAGATCAGTAAGTATTTCCCCCTCACTCAGTCCTTAAGTTTGCAATCTTAAATTACATGACTTCTCTCAAGAGGAAAATAAAAAAATGTCACAACTTGTCAGTGTACTACAGGAAAGCCTCAAAAAGGCTTTTTTTTTTTTTTTGCAAATTAACTAAAGCATCAGTTTTTTCCTAAAAAAAAAAAAAAAAATAGTATAGGGGAACTCTGGTGGCCTAGTGGTAAGAAGCTGCACTGCAATCCCAGAGGTGCGTGGTTCAAATCCACCAGATGCTCTTCTAGAGAAGGAGGGGTAATCTCCTCCTGTACCAGTCAGATCTGATTTGACAGTACACACAAATGTAAAAAAAAAAATAGCATGTACAAAAGTGTATAGCATAGGATTCTAGCTCAGTTATTTGGCAACACTTAAGTCAGTTTTCACTGACATTTAAAGTATTCACAATTATATCAATAAACCCATATTTAAACTTTGAAAAGTTTAATGTTATTGATGATCTTTGATTATAAAGCCATATACAACTTTAACACTATAATATCCCCTCTTTCTCCTGACACACTATAAAGTACCCCTAAGTTGATTCCAACTAATAGTGACCATATAAGGAGGAGTTGGGATGATTCTTCAGAGCAGCTGGTAGTTGTGAACTGACCTTTTGATTAGCTTGAACTTTTAACCCACTAAATCCACTGGGTCATTTTACAAATAAAGAGTGGAAACCTATTCAAATTGGGGATCATGGACATAACTATAGAAACTTAACCTTTTTTTGTTTAGATGAGTTCACAAAGTAAATACAGTTACATATATAAAAGTGGTTGCAGTCCCTTTCTACACAGCTATCTACATTCACCCAGTTTTTCTGTGTTCTGAAATTTGTGAGCAAACGCTGTCCTTTTGATCTTAAAATTGTTCTTAGAAACACATTTGTCACTGTTACTCAGTTTATATGGTTTCTATGAAATGTTAAGTCCTGAACAGTAGGCTCACACTGATAGTGACCCTTTGCCCACCAAACAAAATACTGCCCAAGCCTATACCATCCTTACAATGGCTACAAAGCTTGAGCTACCATATTTATCCACCTCACTGAGGGTCTTTCTTAACTGACCCTCCCCTTTATCAAGTGTGATGATGTCTTCAGGAACATTGAAGTCTCATTCCTCACTTCTAAAGTAGCTACACTTGTCCCAAATTTATAGGCTTGTCTGCTGTAGAAGTTCTGGTGGCATAGTTTATTATGTGTTGTGCTGCTAACCAAAAGGTTGGCAGTTTATATTCACCAGCCAGCTCTTGAAAGATGGGACAGTCTCCTCCCATAAAGATAAGACACCATATGAAGGATCAGAGTCAATTAGACGCCATTGGGTTTGGGTTTTGCAGAACTCTTTGCATGTAAGGTGATTTACAAGAGTAGGTGGGTTCTACGCAAAGTTTGAAGATAACCAAAAGATGTATTAGCTGCACCTGATCCAGGCCATGGGCTTCACAATTATTTGTGGTGCATCAGACAACTGGACAGTGACTTAAGGATGACAGAAGAATTGATGTCTTTGAGTTGTGCTGGGAAAAAATGTTAAACATACCATGGACCGTCAAGAAAACAAATAGGTCTGTATTGGAGAGGATAAAACCAAGTTTCTCCTTATGGGTGAGGATCTTGAAGCACCATCTCACATACTCTGGGCATGTGGCCAGGTGAGACCAATCCTTGAGAAGGACCTCATGCTTAGAATGGTGGAGGGTCAGCACAGGAAAGGAAAACCCCGGATGAGATGGATTGATAGAGTAATGAGGGCAATGAGGATAGGTATGTTGGAGTTAGATGAGCTTAGGGCAGGGTAGGCTTCAGTGTGTTGTACATGGGGTTGCTATGAGTAGCAGGCGACTGTAACAGGCATAATTTTTTATTCCATTAGTCTGGCAGACCAGTAACCATTCTTTTATGAACTTAAATTTTTTTTTTGGTGTAGTGGTAAGGAATTGCACTGCCAATCAAAGGTGTGTGGTTCAAATCTGTCAGCTGCTCTGTGGAAGAAAGATGGGCACTCTCAAGTGACTTATTGCTTAAAACCTACTGGAGGGTCAGCTTTTGGCTGGTTCTGACTCAACAGTATGAAACAAAATGGGCTGTCTCTGACTCGATGGTATACAACACCACAGCTGTCCAATAACCTCTATTATCCCAGTCACAACAGTTGATGGTGGTAGCTTGGCACCTTCAACTTCTTAGGGCACTGCTTAGTTCTAGTCTCACAGACAGTAGTTCGTGTAGTCTAGTAGTCCTTTGGAGGAATCATTACAAGGCTTTGGTTTTCTTTACTCTTCTTTGTTTCAGAAACGACCTATAGTTCTATCTTAGATGGCTACTAGAAAGCTTAGCACTCTAGTCACTACTTACTAAAAGGACAGAGCACTTTTTTTTATGGGCTGTGCTATGCCAATTGATCTAGAAGTCCCCAGAGACCATGATACATTGCTCTCAAGCCAAATAAGTAACTCAGGCCTGTAAAGTAGTTGGTCCTGTGTTTAGAGGTTTTCCTGACTACCCCGTGTTCTATCGCACACATGGATATATTTGCAGCACAGGTATGTAAACAGAAATAACCACTGACAAACTTCTATATGTACATGATTGCATTTCCATACAGTCCAGTTTAATTTCTACTTATATATCCACTTGCTAATTATTGATATTATTGGAGGGATTGTCGATGTAATTGTATTGACTCTTGCTGCCTTTTACTGTGCATACCTCTGTGTCTTGTGTTGGTCATGTTCTGTTTTTCCTAATTTTGTGTATTCTGTTTTGTGTATTGTCTTTTGTGTATTGCTGCCATCTGTTGTGTACTGATGAGTGAGAAATGGCCCCTAGCTAACTCTCCAGTGGGTTTTCAGGAGCAGTAAATTGCAGAGGGGATCACTCATCCTCTAAAGAGCTGCTGGTGGATTGGAACCCCATACTTATGCAGTGGCAGCTCCCTGCCTGCCATCTAGTTAATTGAATTTTCCCTCCTCCTTTTTCTCCTTCCCTGGTAACAAAGAAACCATCTCCCTGAAAGCCTTTACATGACTTTTTAATACGTTTTAATTAAGTTTTTTTGGGTTTGTGTTTTTTTTTGTGTGTGATTATTTTCATCCAGTTTTCTCCAGATTCATCATACTGTGAATACTGTACAACACTGAATATTGTTCCACTGTATTTATGTACCTTGGTATGTTTACCCATTTATTTGTTGATAGGCACTTAGGTTGTTGCCATATTTTTGCTACTGTGAAAATTGCAGACTGAGTGCGCATTAAAACTCTTTCTTACCATGAAGTGAACAGACGGCATTTGTTCTTTTAGTTTGCATGCTGTAGGTAAAGGATCCTTTAGAAGATCAGAAGCATAATAGCTTTTTATTACACGGAAGTGTTCTTTTTGGCACAAAGCTACTCACTAAACTGTTCTTTCCATATTGTATTACTCCAGAATCTTTTTAAGTTTCTTAATTCATTAGTGCTGACAACTAAATAGATGGGCCTGTGGAGAAGCTGCCACTTAGAATCTGGCGGCATAACAGACATTACTAGGAGAAGATTCTTTGCATAAGCAAAAATACTACAGCTTTTCCACTTCACTCCTTATGAAATAATTCTATTTTAGCAGTTGCATGCATCAGACCAGTAAGCATTTGGCACAGAGTTTGTCAACCCTTTCCTGATATTACTATAGAAGGTAACTTCTCTAAGCATCTATGTATTGTTCATTTCCAGAGCTTGTGTAAGGAGGACAAATCATAGCTGCATTGTTCCAGCTATTCCATCATTCAAAACCTTGTAAAAGGCTATTACTTCAAGCAGAAGTGGCTGAATGATGAGAATTTATTCTCATTCTCCACTTCATCTTAAGTTTATAGGTGTAAGTGAAATTTTGCCAATTTTAGAAGTTGAACATGGACATTTAAATATTTTTTGGAAATTCTTTTACATCAGTACTGAAAGTGTTTAATGTCAACAAACATCTACAAGGAGCCCAGCTGACACTGGTTAAGTATTCAGTTACTAACCAAAAGGTTGGTGGTCTAAACCCAATGACTACTTCCCAGGAGACCTGCGTGGCAGATATCCACAGTCTTGGAAACAGGATGGGACAGTTCTACTCTGTCCTTTAGGGTCATAATGAGTTGGAATGGACTCAAGGGCAACCAGTTAAGCTTCTGATTTCAAGTTAAGGTAATAAAGTGTTAGTTTCTACTCAGCTGTTAGGGAGTTCTGGTGACACGAGTGGGTAAGGAGCTGGACTGCCAATCCAAAGGGAGGTGATTTAAATGCAACAGCTTCTCTGCAGGAGAAAAGTGAGATTTCCTCCTATGAGATTTATAGCTTCTGAAAACCATTGAAGGGTCAGCCATGAGTAAGTTCCGACTCAAAATTAATACTTTGTTCTTTATCTGTCATCTCAACT